CCAGGTGGAGGGCGGGGGAGGGCGTTGGTGACGGGAGTGGTCGGAGTTGCCTCTAGGCGTACCGCCACATTTATCTCGGAGCCTACGGAGTGGAAGCGCCATATGCCTTGCAACGACGCATGTCACCATACCTCTCACGTACGGCATTTGTTAAGGGATCGCATCCCCAATAGCGCCCGTCGCCTCCTGATCTAGCCTCCACCCCCCTAACGTGTTGATCCAGCGAATCTATCTTAGCCCTTTAGCGGGTCAAACGCGTGTAACATGCACATATGCCCACATGCAGACGTACGCTAGTTTCATTACTTAATTTTGGTTTCAGTTACAATTCTGACGCAGGATAAGCCAATCCAACCTTTTAGAAGTATGGAACCGCCTTTATCCATGCCAGAAGCTTCCTCTGTAATGACACTGGATAATGTAGGAATTGAATGAATGAAAGTGTTTCGCCGATCTAGTCAAGGAACCTCTTCATGTAGGAATTGGTTTTACGAAAGTGTACAAGCTGTGGTGTATAAGTTATATTTCAAAGGCAGACGGGGTTTAAAATAATCCGGAAGATGACCACGTTTTCTAAAAGTAAAAAAGTAATCCGTCCTTCATGCTAAAAGGTTAACCAGTCAGAACATGGTCGTTCCGTTGTGTCTTGGGACTCAATGAAGAGCCCTCAAGTGCAGTAGCATAGCGACCAGGAATATATGTCGAAAAAAGACATGGGAGACGGATATGGCCATTGTTGGCTTATTAGCTATCGTTATCCAGTCTTAACCAACTCCAGGTTTTGCTGAAGACGGAACACCGAACCAGCGTCTTTTTACGACCCGCGTCTGATACGTATAATTAGCACGAACTCTGAGTTTGCCCGCCTGTTGTCCCGACCGCCAGCACGAGAGAAAAAGAGAAGTCAATCGACCAGGGGGAGAAATGCATCCTCACAGTACAAGTCAAACCGGTCCCTGCAACCCACTCCTACAAAAGGCTGTGGGGTATTTATTCAGTCCGCTCCATGGGCAGGCGTCAGCGACAGGGGACCAATCGGCTATAACGAAAAAATCGATAGCCACGGTGCGTTCTCATGACAGCTGTGTGGAGTTGCACTCGGAGACCCTTCTGTGAGATGAGTAATCGTGGGAATCGACGCATTCCCAACAGGTCCATTCCTTCTACAAAAACATGACTTAATTTTACCTTTCTGGAAAATAAATGGAAAATAAAATATATCACGGTAGCCATTTTTACTGATGCTTCTTTTCG